CGTCCCAACCAAAATGGTATAGGTAATTATTTAAGGCCCCTAAACCCTAAACCCTATAGGTAATTATTTAAGGCCTTATATTAGAACCCTTGTTGGTAACAAGGACCTGCGGAGGTTTGCTCCAAGATGCGAGAATCCCAGAGGCTGCTCCTTGACAGCAGTCTCATGGCCATTCGGGTCGTGAGCTTAGGGTTTAGGGTTTAGGGTTCAGGGTTTAGGGGTTTAGGGCTTAGGGTTTAGAGGGTTTTTTTTTTTTGAACGCCTTTTTCCTCCTGCCGGAGCATCCCACAGTCAGAATCCGCTTTCACAGAAGGCAACCGTCTAGCATCCACTCAGTTCATGGCATCCCTGATCAACTTGACGTCATCCCTACCCCTGGCATTCCCTCGGACGGCTCGCCATCATCTGCCGGCTCTCGCTGCTGTCTCCCAGCGTACATGGACCAGAACTCCGTGTCCGCCGCGAAGAAGGCCCGTCCCTCTTGCGGCAAGTCCGCCAAGGCATCCCAATTCACCAGATGCTCCATGAGAGGACGAGCTTGGGCAATGCCGCCAGCTGCCATAGCACGAAAGATGTCAAGCCACTCCTGACTCATTCTGGCACTAGCAGTCACGTCCAGGCCAAAGCGAAGCCAACGATCAAACATCTCCCAGACAGCCGACACCGGGACGAGCAGAGGCTGCGCATCCAAGTCCGCATGCTGGATAAGCGGTCGTACCGACAACGGGTCCCGGTTGACTTCCATGTCCAACACATCCCCCAGGTAGCACCATACTCCAGAGAGCCCCCATTGATGCCACATGCGAAACAGCAGCACCCAGCGGGAACCATAGGTGCGCTCGATCTCAGCAGTAGTCTTGGTGCCATCCCGCCACTGAGAGAAGATGTTTTCGAAGAAGCCAAAGCAAAGCCTGGGTTGACCAGGGCGCCCCAGTCCAGGAACGACCGGAGGGACAAACTCAGGCATGTCCGTCGCATTGGTACCACGTTCCACACCCTCTGGCTCGACATTCACCGCCGGCTTCGCACCCTCAATCTCCAATTCGAGAGCGTATTGCGCTTGCAACAGGTCAACCGTGTCGCCACCATATTGTTGCCGTACAGCCTCCAAGGAGATCTCCTTCTGCATCCACCTGGTGTACAGAGCCGTGTACGCCGCAAAGTCCAAGACAGGCGAAGCGGTGGAGGTCTCATCCATCGGCCGAGACCTTTTGGCAGACGGTTCGGCAACACCGGAGGAGCCAGTTCCAGAGTCAGAGCCCACATCGGCAACGGTGGCGGGCGGCCCCACGATCACGGTCGGCACCTCACTCGGGGTATCCTCCATGTGCACTTGCAAGTTGAGCACCAACGGCGTACCATCCCCAGGAACTTCCATAGCCAAGGTGTGCGCCACCGTTGGGCCTGTGGAGCCCTCCATTGCACGCAAGGTTAGCATGCATCTGCGCTTGACCGGGCGGTCCGTAGCACTCAGGCTGGTCTGAAGCTGCTCATCTTCCCACACCTGGTAAGCTTCAGCTTCACGTTGCAGAAAGCGCCGCTCCTCCTCTTCGAACTTCCGAAGCTCCTCAGCTTCGTGCTCCTCCTTAGCCTGCTTCCACTGTCGCTCCTCGTCCTCATCCCGAAGAAGGCGTTCGAGATCACGATCATCTTCTGTCCCCTTCCCATCAACTTGAGCGGCTTCCAGCGAGTCCTCAACCAGCGCCACGTTAGCGGAGAAGTCATAGCCAGGGATGAAGTGAGCAAGCTCCGGTGACCACCCTCGAAGCCATTCAATTTCAGGGACTTCCAACGCACCACCAGACCCCACATGTACATCCTCCCCCATGACAAGCAGAAGCGCCAGGAGCTGTTCCAACCACTGCGACGGGGTTTCCGTAGAGCTCATGGAGGGAAGGCCGGCCCGTAGACGTTGCCTCATCTCGTTTCTCCGGTGTGAAGCCAGCGAGTTCCTTTTGCAACCGAACCATAGCCCTGGCCCATCTTTGCCCATCCGTGTCCACACCTCCACTGGAGAAGAAACCCTGCATCATGTGGACTTCGTCGTCCTCCTCCAAGTCTTGTGCATCGGACGTCCCCTCCCTCGTTCTGGCAATCGCGTCCGCGACGTCCAAGGTTTGGCTGAGCTCGGCCATGAGGTACCTAATAAGATGGACAAGGGCCACTGTGCTGATGGCCCTGTTGGTCGGAGGCATGCGCTCATGTACAGACGATATCTCCCTCAAGAGCGGTGTAGGCAGGAACGAGTTCGGAACACAACCCTCGCCTTCCCTCGGGTTTGCAAAGGTACGACGATCGAAGAGGGTTTAGGGCTTAGGGTTTAGGGTTTAGGGGTTTAGGGTTTAGGATTTAGGGTTTAGGGTTTAGGGTTATGGCCATTCGGGTCGAGAGCTTAGGGAGCGCCTGAGTTTGAGGATGTTCGGCAGTTTAGGTTAGGATGTTGGTTGGTGGTTTTCAGGATGCTTCGGGTTTAGGGTTGCGGAAGTTGGGGTTTCAGATTGTGGCTTGCAGCCGCGATTGAAGGTTCAGGGCCACCCTTTTAAGCACCAATAGAGTTTAGGGTTTAGGTTTTAGAGTTTTAGGTCTACAGGTGGTCTGAACGTGCGCGTGTGTGTAAACTGCTCTTGCTTCTTCCTACGGTGGCTACTTCCTTAAACCCTGAATCCACCTGAATATTCACAGCGTGCCGCTGTCGAGCCTGAGTGCAGCTGGATCGATACGCAAAGCACTGTATAGTTGCGATGTATCTGTTGTGTCATTTGTCTTGTAAATGATGTTCTGATGATTATTATTGTTATTGTTCTTCTTCTTGCGTTCTTTTCCATACTACTGTTTGTGACTTCGATGGCTCTGGCTATAATCGTCTCCCGCTCAAGAGGATTATCATCTATTCGGCGCGGCCTAGAAAATTGCCACTAGTACTGCGAGGGCTGTGCATGGGAGGCCCCTGTACCCTGTCGAGGAAAGCTCCGAACCGAGACACCATCCCCAGGCACCCTGAACATCGTCACGATGAGACTGGATGCATGTGACCGTCGTGTTTGGGGTTTAGGGCCTAGGGTTTGGGGTGGTTTATGATCCGCCATGCGCAGGAGAACGGTCGAAATTCCGGGGTTTGGGCCTTCGGGATCTTTGGATTAAGGCTTGGTGCGTATAGAGCTCAGGGTATGGACCCAAATCTCGTGAATCGACCCGCAGCTCGACACTTTAAAGCAATGCTACCGAAACCCCGAGCTCCGCAGTTGCAACGCCTGTAGCTATAATCATGATAAGAGCAATGAGAGTCCTATTTCAGAACGCTACGAAGAATGAAAAGAGACAACTACAGCGAGAACCAGCAGCCACTCTAAATTGAGAGATTGGATTGTTGATCGGAACAACTACGTACACCAACAAATGCAACTCAAGCCGAAAAATGGTCGTAATTAGATTTACAAGATATTGTCATGTATAATGCTTCCAGGATGCCGGTGTTGACGGAAAGTAGGCATTCCACGTGACGGGCTGGTCCTCTCGGACAAGCTGCTCGGACTACATCAGCATCTCGGGCTGAGAGATTCGGGTTTTTTGGGGGCTGCTGTGGCTGATTTCCCAAGAAGAAGAGCAAGTTCACGCGCCCGCCGTCCAGGAATCATTCCTAAGTAGACTCCTGACTCAAAGACGGTACCTCGAGGACTCTCCAAGGATGCATAAACCCCCAACCCGAATCGAAATTCTTTCAAAGGGCGCATGCGGCTCAGGCCCCTGGAAATTGAGCTCCACATGCAGGTCAATACTGGGGGCCTTCAAATTAAAGGCTTACTAATCGAGGATCTACCCTAAGCCCCTAAACCCCAAAATCCCGAAACCCCTAAACCCCAACCCCTAAACCCCAAACCCCTAAACCCTAAACCCCTAAAATCCCCAAAAACCCTATTAAAACCCTCAAAACCCTCAAACCCCGAAACCCTAAACCCCTAAACCCAAAACCCAAAACCCTAAACCCCTAAACCCCTAACCCCTAAACCCCCTTTACTCTCCTCGTAGGAGCTGTTCTTGCAGTGCGTGTGCTGCTTGCCATGCCC